AACAGGATTCCAGGGATTTCAGATCTGTGGCGGGGAAGGATTCCAGATCTGTGGCGAGGTTCCTAGCAAAGTCAGGTGCATCGTCGTCGGGTATTTCCCGTATTTCGGGAAGGAAGTGCCCTTACACTGGACTCCAAGCTGCTTCCATGGACGCCTGTCCACCGGAAATTGAGTCCAGCAGCTTCCCGGCTCACCTCCCTCGGAGGAAACCGCTCTCAGCAGGGCCCCACATAACTTTGGAGATTCGGCTCGAGTGAACTGGAGCTCTTTGGTGCATCCTCGCCTAAAGTACCTGACCCAAACTGGTTTACCTTTGAAGGCATGACATTTGGGACTTGCACCAGAGGCGATTAGAGCGGGGAGCAGGAATTGCAATTTCCACAATATTGCCATTCAGAGCCCATCTTATTAACGTATAAAAAGTGTTAGCTGCCTGGGGCAAACGAGCATTGAGCCTTCTGGCTGGCCTCCTTCACCTTTGATTCCAGGGCGAGCTGGCGGGCGGCCATCACGGCCTCGTCCGTCTTCAACGGGTGACTGCCCTCTCTGAGGAGAAGCTCCACGAACTGGGCCTTTGCGGCTCGCCCCGTCTTGAAAACCCTCCGGCGTTCCACCAACTCGAAACTATGGTGCGGAACTGCCACTGGATCGATGGCTCAAAGGAAAACCTTCTAACTCAGACTTCAAAAGCTGGCTTGACGTGTGTGCGCTTCGACGCACTTCCTCGGAGGTGGTTCCCTGCGTTGGGAAAACCACCGCTCCCTGAAAAGCTTCCAGAACAAAGGCTGTAACGCTATGTACAGTGAAACACAACCATTGGTAAAACGTTCCATTAGTGAATTGAGACCATGGGTAAGTGTTCCACTGGTAAGTCGAACCATTGGTAAATGCATGGGGGTTGGAAGAGATCGAGACACCCCAGGTGCTTGAAAAGAAACCAAGGAGCAAAGCAAGAAGCAGGAGGAACGACAGCAGCGCGGCTAACGGTAGCCGCCACCTCGTCTGTTTGCAAGACTTCAACTGGTGATTGTTCGGCAAATAAACCACCTGGGCCAAAACGTTCTCTTCATCGAGGCACCAGGTTTGGATTTCCTTTCCTCAGACCTTACGCCACTGATTTTTTGGCTCGCTCCCGGCGCATGTGTGAAGCTGCGATAAATCTCCTTCCGCACCCCGTACTGTCTTTTGCATTTATGCCGTTTATGCCGCTATAGTCAAGAAGACCCTCCCGAGGACCTTAAGCATAAACAAGAATTTTGGGACTGTATCGGTAACCTCCTTTCCTCCCACAGAAACTTGTTGCACCCTCCTTGTTATTGGCGATCAAAAAAGATTTAAACGCCGGGCTCTCCCCGGCCATGGCCAAGGACTCCTCAACTTTGGAGCCACTTTTTATGGGCGGCGCCAAGCCCTTGAAGATCCCGACAGGGACAGTGCCGAATTTGGTTGAGTTTATGGACTCTCATAATCTTATACACTCGCCCTCTCAATCTGAACTGCCCGCTGCGAAACAGGTTACTTACAAAAGAATGACATGTGACGACCTTTAGCTTCCTCCCCCACCGTAGCGAATGGATGTTGTGCTGCTTACCAAGCCCTTTCGGATTCCTTTTTCTATCGGGTTCTATCTTTCAACAGATGATTCACAATTTTTTCACACACGACATCTGCCCATCTGTGGGACACTCTCTTGTCAGTATTCCGAACGTTCTCGTCCCCGGGAAGGCAAACTTGACCATTCGTGGTCCTTGGAAGCTCATTCCCAAACTTCTTGGACACGGCCCAACAGGTCAAACAACACCGCAACAAAATGACGAAGCTCGCTCGCCAGCGCGCACTCTCTGCAAAGACTTCCGCCCATCCTCTACAAATCTCCTGGATTCTAGGGGGGTCCCTCGATGGGCAAGCATTACATTCGCTGATTATTTGGCAACGGGCAGGGAGGCCAGGGAAGGGGCGAGGGGGCAGGGGGCCAGGGAAGGCCAGGGGGGCCAGGGTTAGGGGGGTCGGGGGGGGGGGGGCCAAAATGGGGCCAAGCGATGAAAAACGCAAGGCAAAGCAGCCTCACCCCAAAATTCCGAATTTTTTGGGTCCTGGCACCCCCTGCTGGGTCCCTTTTGGGGGGGGGCCCAAATGCAAACAACTACGATGGCAGAACCCGACGCCCGCGCCCTGACAAGATTCCCGCCGCCTTTTCCTACTTGATCACTACAACCATTGCTTCTCCCGTGGGGAAGCTCCGCCAGTTGGCTTCACTCGGACGTAGTCATGCTGCATGCTCGTGAAAATTGCCAGAAGGATACAAAGCTCCTTTCCAATTATCGCAGCATATCACTCACCCAGAAAAGACTGGCCACTCACTTCGACCACCGTTTGCGTGACACCCAATTCGGATTCCGTTCGGGTCGACCAGTCACACAGCCCATTCCTGTTCTCCGTCGTCTCCTTGAGGTCCATGATCGTCAACCTGAGTCGTTTCATGCTATTTTCTTGACTGGACCAAAGTGTTTGACTCTGTCAGCTTCTCTGCAAACAATTGCGTTAATCGAAATCTTACTTTATTGTTCGGGATAGTAAACACTCCTCCTCGCAATTTACCCAAACCCCTTGCCTTCGCCAGGGATGTACTCTCTCTATCTGTTTAGATTTGTCCTCATGCATCTGTTCGAAGATGTTGAGCAGAAATACGAACGCACTTTCGGTGTCATGTCTGGTGTGCTTCGTCTCGGTTCCCCTCTGTGGGACTTAGAGTACGCTGACGACACGGTTTTGTTATCAAACTCCTCCCACCATGTACAAAAGCCCTTCCACCTCATACAAGAGGAAGAGCACGTCGTGGATTATCTATCAGCTACGAGATGTCAACTTTGACCCCGATTACCTCCTTTCTCCAGTCGAAGACTTCCAGGTCTCCCTGTCCGATGCTGTTAAGAATCTTGGCGTAAGTCTCGATCCCCGCTCAAATAACCATAAGGCTGTTTCCACACGAGTTTCCCGTGGCCTGGAGGTGTCAACGAAGCTAACACCCTTTATGAAACATCCCGCGCAAACAGGAAGCTATCCATTCTCATGTACGCCATGGATAGTATTCTTCCTACCTCGATTCACTATAAATGCCTCCGGCGCATCTTCAAAATAAAGTCCTCATGCTACCATCGGGTTAGTAACCCATCCACTGCGCAGTGTTCTGATCAGTGCTTAGCCGATTTATCGCCTCACTCTCCTAGGACACTTATATCGCCACTCGGACTCTCTTGCAACCCAAGCCGCTTTTTATGCCATCAGTGGTATATCGTTCACCTGATGTCAGACGACCCCCGATTGATCATGAGTTTTTCTCCATTCCGATCGCGTTGAAGATTCGACAAGAGCATTCCTCGCACTCCTTGGTTTGGATGGATAGCACTCCTCTCTACCGCAAAGTCTCCACAATTGCCAAGCAGAGAGCCCTATGCGTGTTTGTTGTCCACAAAGCAAGCCGCACAACCTGTTGACGGACCTTCGTTGGACCCTCCGTGCGCAAAAAAGAGTAGACAAGACACCAGAAAAACGGATACAGAATGCACGCAACAGAAATGATCGATCATAGTCTTAGCAACGGCATGAGAGAATAACAACACAAATTAACGCCAAGTGCCCTTTCGCTTGGAGGCCGAGCGGGAGAGGAACGACGGAAAACAGGAAAGAAGGAAGAAGAAAGAAGAAAGTATGGGAGAAAGGCAGAAAAGAAGGCACGCATTTGACAAAAGTGTTCAACCACCATCGCCACATGAGTGGGCTGGTTTGACACATACGGCAACTGTGATTAACCGGCATCGCCAAACGAGGGGGCGAGTTTAAGCATCGTATAGTAAGAGCGGGCTTAAGACATGTGGTCAACTGCCATCGCGTATCGTGGAAACAATGCGATGAACAGCCATCGCCTCATGAGGAGGTGGGCGTAAGCAATGTGATCAAGTCAATTGCCATAGTTTAAGGAGCAAGATTAAGAAATGTGATCAGCCGCCAGCCGCCATCGCCAAATGAGGAGCGGCTTGAAGGCATGTGATCAACAGCTACAACAGTCATCGCCTAATGAGGAGGCGAGTTTAAGCAATGTGATCAATTGCCATGTATACATGTTAGGTTACGGCCTAAAGGTTTTGAAGCCCGTCACCCGAGCGTCGTGTTTGCAATAGCTCCGCGCCCCCACAACCTCTGCAATGCTTGCTGCTAAGAACCTTTTGCAACATCCAATTTTTTCAGATCGGTCATTCCATCGTTGTGTTTGCAAAACAGGGCTGCCCTGCCCACACGCCTGGTACAATCGCTACGAATGTGCGACGATGATGACGACGGCGATGCGGGCCACGACGACGACGACGACGACTACGACGACTACCACCCTCGTTTCCAGTATGACTGCTATTCCTAAATGGACTGCTGCAAAACAGGAGATTTCCTATACTTTACCAGGTTGCCTCAAAACAAGGCCGCCACGCAGCAGCATAAACAGACGGCTGAAAGGTCCAAAACCACTCTTCACCCCTCCCTGTCGCCCTTGGCTTCAGGATGTGCCCTGCTCGGCAGAGGGCAACTTGAGGAGGTTCGTTAGCAACCCTTCGCTGTTGCTCCGACATGTCCGGGCTTGTTGTGTACGTGGGGAGTAGCAGTATGTGCGCACTAGCGGTGTTCTGGATGTGGCTATCAGGTAATCTTTGCTGGTGCTTCCCGACTGTTCGTCAAATCCGTGCTGCCGTGTGGAGGGATTGTCCAGTACGAAGCTTGGTTGCGCGGATGCCACTGCAGCCACTGGTAGCAACAAGTCGGCGAGAAGTTTTGGACAAGTATGCAGTGGAAGACCCGTGACATCATGACATCATGAGTGGGCATGGCGCAGATTTTTTTCGAAACATGAGAGGTGCGTGCGCACAGGCACACTCACGCACATACACACGAGGAGCCTAAGGAGGGAAGTGCTGTCAGCACCAAGAAAGCTGGATGCTGTAGTCTGCCAAGCCATGCAACTTCAAAATCTCTTGACGACGCGCCAGGGCCTTAGAGTCTTAGAGAGGCAAAATCATACTCCCTTACTGGGCTCCTAGAGCGGATGGCGAAGAACAGCGGGAGGTTTTGCGGAGCTCGACGAGGAATTCAAAAATGCGTTCGATGAGCTTCAGAGGCGTGTTGCTTGCCCGCAATGTGTCAAGCACCAGCCCTTGACGACTGCGCCCCGAGAACGTCGTCTCACAAGTGCTGAGTGGGAACTTGCATGCCTGGTGCATGTCTCCGGACTTGAGGTTCGCAATGTGCAAGACACGATTCAGGGAGAAGTTGCTGAGTACCTTCGCGATCGTGATAGCTTGCTGCAGCCTGAGATGATCGTACCGCAAGTTTTGGCGTTGCTTGAATCAGCTTCTTCGGCTGCTCGCGGCAGCACCTGCATGGAGAATCTCCAGCTTGAGCAGGTTGCCCGATGAGACCGATGTGGATCCAGAGCCTGGTGGAGACCTGCTCGAGAACTGGATCTTGAGGGAAGACGCTCTCAGTGCCCCTCACGAGGAATCCAAAGATCAGCTCCCGCTCCCCGGCGACTCAAGACTTGCTCCTTGTATTGTAGGGTTCGAAGCGACTAGTGTCTGCTGAATGGTTTCGAGGATCGGTGCCCTGGTCCTGCGGCAGTCGGCATTGGCACTGCAGAGTGCTTCCGGGCTGTCGCACCTCCGATTGAACTCCCACATGATGGAGCTTTCCAACAAGACGAACGGAGTCGTCGAAGCTTTGGGCAAAGATAGGATCAAAAGCAATTTGACACAGCGAAACCAGAAAACGACCCGGCGGTTCAGTGGGATGATGTATGCCACCGAGCTGACGAACAGGTGTAAGTTGCCCGTGGTCAAGCCAAGCGACAGAATCCGAGTTGCCTGGGACATTGTGAGCATTTCCTTGATCGTGATGGACTCTTTCTTGTTGCCGGCAGCCATTGCATGGGAGCTGGAAGAACAGAAGAATCTCTCTTTTGGCAAACTGATCGTGCAGATCTTTAGTGCAATCGCGATGGTGTTCTGGCCGTTGGACACTTGGTTTTGCAGATTGTCGCTCAAAGTATGTAGAGGCTAGAGCTTTCGGCGAGGTGCAATCCTATAACCCAGGACGAGTTTCGGATTGCTTTGTGTCTCGTTTCCTGGTAGATCCGTTCATCTTGTCACTGCAGATGTCCGACCCTCTCTTGCCAAGGACATCGTTCTGAATTTCAACACTGCTTTTTATTCGGGCTCTGTGCTTGAGACTCGTCGTTCCGCATCTTAGCGGCAGAGCAAAAAGATGCCAGAAGTACGGCCATTGCATGCGATATTGCATGTGTACGGCCCGGCGATGCTTTGTAAGGCTATAGCCAGACGCTACTTGCGCTCCTGGCTTCCCTTCGACTTCACTGTGGTCATGCTTGACTTTGCCTTGGCTCTCTCGACCGCCTCGGAGGAACCCCGGCCCCGCAGCACCTTTTCACAGAAGTCACAATCTACAGTTCTGAACTAACGCTGCAATGCGGGCTCGTCCTTGCTAAGTGGGAGGGAAAAGAAGTCACAATCCAGAGTTGTGAGTGGAGTTCTCAAGTAGAGTGAGTGGAGGCGCTGGTTCCTGAAATGACATTTTGCCGCAGTTGTGGTGCGCACTGCGTCGAACCTTACGGAACCGCCGCCTCGCATTGCAGTTTCCTGCGGTGGTGGTCCAACAACCAAGTTGCAGCAATCAAGGCAATCAAACAGCGAGAAATGAGGCAATGCAGACTCGACAGAGAGTGTGCGTCAGAAAGGGAAGAGCATGGAGACCGGGCCTCTGTGGGGGAGGGCTGTTTGCAGGTACAAGTAGACCGGTAAGAGACCGAAGGGTCGAGGTTGTGTCTGGTTTCTCAGGAACGACCCTTGGCAGGCCTCTGCTTTGCTGGGGTCGCATCGCATTCTTCTACTGTAAAGTGTCCACGCCGCGGAAAGGGTGGCGGTTTGTGATGAGTAATCGTTGCCACGTTTCGGTGTATTGGTTGGTGTCTTGGGGTTCCATTGTCAGGTGGCTGGGTTTCACACACTAGATGTGTTCCGGATTCAGGCTCTTGAGAGTCAGGCACGAAACGGGGCCGAAACCTCTTTCTGCTGCAGGAAATGGGTGGCGTCCTGCAGCCTTTCCGATCGGCCCGTTTCCTGCGGGTCTTCCGTGGCTTGGAAAGCACAGAAAAGGGCACACGCTGAGGCTGACGCTCCTGTGATGGCCAAGGATCACTCCGCATCCTGCGCCTTCTCAAAGCCGGCAAAATCAACGTGGTACTGGAGAACATGGCTGGCAGCCCAGTCTCCAGTCGAGTCAGTCAATGTGAGAACTTGCTGCTTGGCTCGTCTCTGTCTTATTCAGAACTGTTCCGTGAATAGCTCCGGACTGCCGGTGCTCGTTGAGAGTTTGGTGCTCTGTGCTTCCCTAGAATTCATGCCTTCGCCCGCCCGCAGTTGATCTCGATGGGACGACAGTGGCTCATCCTGGCCTTCACTGTTGGAAAAATGCTGCTGACCATCGTGATGCTTGGCTGATCTTGGCAGCACCTCAGGGTGAGGCGACTGCCTGCGCTTCCTTGCAGCTTCGCTAATATTGACAGGATGGTGCTCCACATCCTTGCCTGCGCATGGTGGGGTTTGGGCAAAGTCCCTCACTGAGCATGCTGTGCAAGTGTGCGCATACACATGCATGCGTTGGTCCAGTCAGTGAAAGCTCAGTCGGAACCCTCCTTGAGAACCGAGTTTGCTGCAGATGGGTGGGCCCTCCAGCAGACACTGGCGGGGTTTGAGCAGTGTTGCTTGTCAGGCTGTGTCAAGCCCGGGCCCACCTACGATGAACAGTTGGAGCCTTTGACGCACTGAAAGCGACAAATTGGTTTACTCAGCGGCCGGCTTGGTACGCATGTTAAGCTCAGAGGTCAGGCATGCTGGCATTTCACTGCATTGCTCTGGGACAACTCGGAGTCAAGGATAGATATTGCCGACGTTTGGCATCTGAGTGGTCAAGCTCAATACATCCACGCGATGCAGTGGATCGCGCCTTGCTTCTTTTCAGCGTGTTCTCGAGCTATACCCCGCAGTTCCACAACCGGATAGTTCGACCAAAGCTATGTTTGGACTGAGTTGCTCCCTCCTGCTCCAGCACCTCTTTCGACTGCGACTTGTCCCAGCACAAAGGCCATCAGTGAACCTTCTGCTTGTGCCCGCATGCAAAGCCCAGAGCAATAAGGAAAGCGCTTATGAGCGACTGGCTACGATAATGACAGTCGTGGTGACGGTGCTTGGGTGCGAAGAATGCTAAGTTTCGAAGAGTCAGTATTTCGCGAGTGGTGATCTTTGTCGGATCAGCTTCGTGGGTCTATTCTCCGAGGTTCTTGTGATTGGTACATCCCTTTCCGTGCTGACGGGAACTCTGCAGGACGGGTCGCTGTGTACGGAGTAGGCCTAATCCTGGCCCATCTTGGCCCCAGCCCGGGTTCAGCTTGGGACGCTTGCTGGACGGATTCGATTGAAGCATGCTGCGGTAGCTGCTAAAACCTGTCAGGAGATCCGTCAGGTCAACAACGAGCGCAGCAGACACTTGAAGACATTCTCAGGTGGTGCTGTCCTTGTGAAGATGCTGATAGGCAGTCCGGAACTGCATGGGTTCGTTGTATAAAAACACGCATGAGAGCATAGATCTGGCTGTTGTTGAGAAGCACACTTGTGTGCGCATTGACATGTGACTAGTTTTGTGCAACACAGCCGCTGTTGTGGCGCAAACCGGGAAGTTTCTGCTCTGTTCGGATGGGATTATCACTGCGTTTACGATGTTTTGCTGGAGTTCTTGCAGCACGATCTCTTGGACATCGTTTCGTTCTAGCTGCCTCGAGAAAGGGCGATGCTATTTGCGATTCGGGACGTCTTGACGTCTCTCAAATGCGATGCTGATGGGTGCATTTTGTCTGGGCAGTTCTTGCTTCAGACCCGCAGCATCCAGGATGTGCTCGCATATCATAACCCCAAGGCACATGTTCTGTTGCCTCAGCGGTGACTTTGTTTCTTGCAAGGTCGATTTGGTGCTGCAGGCATGGATTTTCAGCGAGTGTGGGCGGCGGTTGCTTATGCGCTTGAATCACGCCATTCACACGGCTCAAGATTGCTGCGGCTTGGTGGGCCGGTTTGAGGGACAGGACGAGCTGGCCCCCATCCTTTGTCAGGCTTGCGTTTTGTCATTTGATGGGATCCGAGAGCAGGACTCCGTGCGCAGCGGGGGTCTCGAAGCATCAGTTCCAGCTGCTGACGCAACAGCAAGCCCAGGAGACAGCCGAAGCAGTCTCGGCACCGGCCAGGCGAGCTGACTTGCCTTTGGTTGCGGCTAGAAAGCGTGCGGGCTTTCAAGCATCCATCGATGCCGCAGCTCCAGAGAATCGGGCTGCAAGCATGAGAAGATTGCAAGAGGACTGTTTTGGCGCCATCAGGCTCGGGGCCAATGAACAGTCGCATTGGGACGTGGTGTGAATGGTGCGAAGCTTGGAAAGTGGCTCCATTCCCATTGGACCACTGGATGCTCAGAATATATGTTCTTGTGCCGCCAGCATGAAAGCCGGTGGATAGTATCGTGTGCACAACGCTTCAGTGCCACCGTTAAACATCAGGGGCGGACATTGCATCTTCTTGTCGAGTCGCAAGTCGCTGATCCGCGATTGCAAGCGTAGCATACTTCGTGGCTTGGGCCCGGATCGACTGAAGGATTCACTCGAGGTGGCCAAACTCGAACCCTTGATTCAGTCCTCCAGTTCGGGGACAGCTCCGTGGGATCCGGATGAGGCGAGCTGTTTCGTCGACGCCGTAGTTCTGAGTCAGTGGTTTATGCTCAGGAAGGCCGAACTTGCCTCATTGCGCAGGGGTCATGTGTACCTTGAGGAGGTCGTTTTGTTGATCGCAGTGCGGAAGAACGCACTCAGGGTTCGCTTGCAACGATCCACTAGCGGGAAGGGCGACCCATCACCGCTTTCATGGCCATTGTTGTCGTGTATGGGGGGCTCAGTGGAGTGGACTTGTCCATCGTAGGGGGACAAGTGCGAGGGAGTGCGTGTTTAGGCTTCTTGCGTGTGCAAAGGTTGCACTCGCGTGTAGTGTGTTCTCTTGGTTTGCGTGTTCACTCGTGTCCTCGCAAGTTGCTGCTTCTGCAGGCTCTTTGATT